TTTCAATCTAGTTTTTTTCCTTATCACAAGGGATAGTTGGGCTATCAAAAGAAAAGATTAAAGTTCAACAAACTAGTTTAAAAGTATGAAAATTTTAAGAAATTGCAGAGAAGAAGGAAAAATTAATTCATTGTCTTGCACTTTTGATCAGCCGTCGTGTAAAAAAAATGTAGGAAGACCATCGTGCCCATTACCTTAAAAACTTCCTTGGTTAATTGAGATTCTAAAAAGGTATCACAAGCCTATGTATTCTGTATTATTTTTATCTTATGGCTACTTGAATAGCAACTAGTATGAAAACTGCAAAAATGAGTTTTTCTCGTAATAGTTAAACTAGGACTGCATAGTGGCATTAAATACAAATGGATAATTTTTAGCGTAGGAATTTTAATAAAGCAACATTTTATCATCATCATCATCATCATTTCAGCCATAGGACGTCCACTGCTGAACATAGGCCTGTACCCCAATGATTTTCATAATGACCGCTTGGTAGCGGCCTGCATCCAGCACCTTCCTGCTTACCTTTATGAGGTCGTCGGTCCACTTTGTAGGTGGACGTCCTACGATGCGCTTTCCGGTACGTAGTCTCCACTTTAACCCTGCTGCCTCAGTTCTGCAAACTACTGTGCTCTGCCCATTGCCACTTCAGCTTGCTGATCCGTCGAACTATGTCAGCGACTTTAGTCCGTTTACGGATCTCCTAATTTCTGATACTGTTTCGTGAAGAAACCCGAGCATAGCCCCTTCCATAGCACGCTGTCCAAAAAATCCACGTTTCCGAGCCGTGTATTATCACGGGTATCTGTCTATAGGCACATTTATAAGGTTTAAAACAAAAATTAAGTAATCACAAAAACGCAGAACGGACGGCCAATGGGGCAACAGGGTTCAAGTGGAGGCTACGTACCGGAAAGCGCATCGTAGGACGTCCACCTACAAAGTGGACCGACGACCTCATAAAGGTAAGCAGGAAGGTGCTGGATGCAGGCCGCTACCAAGCGGTCATTATGAAAATCATTGGGGTACAGGCCTATGTTCAGCAGTGGACGTCCTATGGCTGAAATGATAATGATGATGATGATAAAATGTTGCTTTATTAAAATTCCTACGCTAAAAATTATCCATTTGTATTTAATGCCACTATGCAGTCCTAGTTTAACTATTACGAGAAAAACTCATTTTTGCAGTTTTCATACTAGTTGCTATTCAAGTAGCCATAAGATAAAAATAATACAGAATACATAGGCTTGTGATACCTTTTTAGAATCTCAATTAATTAAGGAAGTTTTTAAGGTAATGGGCACGATGGTCTTCCTACATTTTTTTTACACGACGGCTGATCAAAAGTGCAAGACAATGAATTAATTTTTCCTTCTTCTCTGCAATTTCTTAAAATTTTCATACTTTTAAACTAGTTTGTTGAACTTTAATCTTTTCTTTTGATAGTCCAACTATCCCTTGTGATAAGGAAAAAAACTAGATTGAAAAGTATCCTCATTTGTAGAAATGGCATGAGAAAAAGTAATCGCAGGTGGCAATTTTCTAAAAATGCACAAAAACTTAAAAATCTTGAAAACGGTGATATTTTTACTGGGGTCAAAATTGGACGTTAGGGAGACCATGGCGAGGTCTATCGATGGTTACAGGGTTATCCATTGTTTTTGGGACACCCTGTATGTATAGTTCGAGACACTCAAAGTAGCCAAAAAGTTCGCAACACGTCTTTGTTATAATAGGCTATTTTCCTAAAAAAATATGGTTGTATTGTCAATGTTTTGCCCACTTTAGGTGTCACGAACTATTTGACGCTGACTGTACATGGATGTTAGTCTTTCTGAGTAATTACCCAGAAAGAAGCAATAAGTTAAATTGTAAGTGCAAGTAATTAAGCCATTAAGAGAGATGTCCCTTTTTGCTGTCAGGTGGATTTTTAATATTTAGCGAGTAATAACATCATGCATTCTCATTCCAACAGTTAGCCTTTGTATGTCTTAAGCCATATATGCCCAGAGGCACGACCAAATGGTACAAGTTCTCTTGCGATGCCGATAAAAGAAACTGTAAATATGCCAAATTACATAAAAATCTGAGATTTATGTAGTTTTGGGCATATATGGAAGGGTCCTAACTACACCTACTTAATTGAACGTATCTATAAAATTGATCTATTAATTTTTGTGCACATTTTTAGTTGGTATAATCACGTAGGTACTATGATCCATTTGACTTTATAAACATTCGACTTTTAGAGCAGAAATAATTTTACATTTAGGACTTTTCCTAAATTTTCCGATTATTATTTATTATTCAATGTGAGTTCTTAGACAATCACCTATCCTCCGAGAGACCGAGACAACTTAACCAGCCGGGCCGGGCTAGGATGCGCGCCGTGATAAAAGCCATCGATGATTTTAGACTACAAACGAGCTATGGGCTTATCGCGTAGAATGGATAAAATGTGATATAGGTACGCATATCGCGACGCGCATCCTAGGCCTACTGGTTGAGTTTCCTGGGTGCCAAATAATTTTAGTTAACAACAGTTTTAGTATCGCAAAACCGTCCTGGGTAGGAGCTCCACAATTCCTCGTCTATGCAAGTTATTGAATGAGCACAGTGTGGCGGTGGATTTATTCTTTGATAGCCGTCAACAGTTTAGAAAGGCAGTCATGGAGACTTTTGAACATGTTTGAATGAGTTGTAAATTGTAATGATTAACAGACTTTTTATTGTTTTCTTTTCTTTTCCTTTAAATAATTAGCAAACATTTAATATTATGTAAGCGGTGTTTACCTTAATATAGCTATACATTTACATTATTGAATTGTCAAAGTGTCTGTGCAAATATTGATGTAATAGTTGTTGGTGAACCTAAATAAATAAATAAATAAATAAGTAGGTTAAAGAACTGGGGCTGTATTCCCCCATAGGTCATGTCCCCATTAAAGGGGGCAGAGGTTCTCTAATGTAGAGCCTGCATTGTCTCGGACTCGCTACCATTAAAAGTTCTTCAACCGTCATCACTCTAAAGATTATCTTCAATTACGTTTCTTCTCACTCTAATTACTCTCACGTAATTAAGCTAATCTGTAATAAGGTAAATGACACATTTATCAACTGTACTACATCGTTAAAATAATAGTGGCTTTGTGAGTCGCCTCATTATACATTTTTTAATTGTACGCTTAAGTAGTCGCCGAGGAATGTAGGTACAGCTGACGGCATATCAAGCTAAATATTGTGGCACCTAGTGGAGTTGTAATAAAAGCGATTTTTCAACAAAATTTTATAATCTGATGTGCTGTGGATTAGTTGGATATTTGCGGAAGGAAAATCTTTAGAATTGCTCTTATGAAATAGTAAAGTTAGGGTACAATTAGTGCTTGTTACTACAAGAATTATCGTTGCGATACAAGAATGTAAATTATCTTACTAATAAGTAGTTATAGGTAGAATGGCTGGTTGACATTGCTTATATAGCCACCATAGCCCAACGGTGAAGTGTATCTATCCCACCGCCGCTCGACTATTGTGGTGAGCCCACTCGTAACACAAGCTTATTTAGCTTACCTCGAGGGGCGAAAGGGACTATTAGTAATTTGTGCAATACAAATTGCTAATATTTTTTTTTAAATCTACCTAATGAGTATCAATTAGGTTCTATGTAAACTTCATTTATTATAATAATAGGACATTAAATATCGTCAAATGAATAATGCGTGAAACGTAAACAAAGTTGACAAATTCTCACGGATGTCTCTGAGATAGCAATCGTCATGCCTCGTCTATCTCAAAATAAAATCATCAAAATAAGTATGATGATAACACTCGAGTGTTTCCTACTTATTTAATTAGAGAACTAAGTATTATGTGTCTGTACTGACACTTGTATTTTGTAATAATGGTTACTGAATTCATTAGTAATGTTTAAAGACGCATTTAAATCATGATTAATATAACAATGTGTTCTCATTAATAATTTGTAGTTACAGTACCTATCTATTGAAAATGTTTACAATACAGTCAAGCTTATGAATGTTTCTATTCTTGTTTGTATATTTTGTAAGCATGTACGACAACAATTAAGTCCCAATTTTCCTCTCAAACCTGATAGTCCTGATACAGAATATTATCATAAAGTCAATAAAACTCCTTGGATAATTCTACTTGTATAATTGAGACTGAAAACCTGAGATTAACATGAACTTGACTTGAATTTTTATAGTGGTTGCTGAAGTACCCAAGGTTACATATTGGGTTTTCCACTAAAACCATAATCAGGACCTCACATTCTATAGCCACAATTAGTACTGAGCGTGCGCACTTTGTTTTATTTACTTTTAGCATGTAGTACTCGTTAGTTATGTGTAGTTATGTCCATAAAGTTTTTATAAGTGTTATGTAGTTTAGGATTTGATTGACAGCGGATCATTTGCTTCATTATTTGTGTCGATCAAACATGTCGATGAATCTTGATAAATTGTTAAGTGGTATTGCGATATAATTCAACCTGCTTAATTTTAATGCGCAACCATCATTGAAGGAGATATCAACAATTAATCAATGATAAAATTGACATGAGAAAATTGTGAATCCTAAAATATTATCCATCTGATGACTAATAAGTATTTTTGTTGGCAACGCACATTGCACAAGCTATACAAAGCCAATAATCAAAAAAAAAGTATTGTGCAGTAGTTAGCCTATTTGAAAAAACTAAAGATACTTCGATTTTTTGCTAATGGATCTATGGGAGTTGGGAATGTTTGTTTGACTGAAAATTGTAAATATTTAATTAAAACGGATGCGATGTAGGTAAGTATATAGTTTTATAAGAGTTTTGGAAAAAAATAAAACTGAACAGTGAACGCATTTCCGTGGGTTTAGTTTTCTTAAATAATATAGTTAGATCGCATTACTGAAAAGAAAAAAATTGAAGCGCCTTTAATCGTCAGCAACGCAAACTAGCATTTTCACACTAAATTTTTTCCTTCCAGGGATACTGCCAGAAGCGCTCCGAACAAAGTGCATCAGATGCACCGAGCGGCAAAAGAAGACAGCTGTGAAGGTGATCAAGCGGCTGAAATACGAGTTCCCAGAGGAGTGGGCCAAGCTGTCCTCCCGGTGGGACCCCACGGGGGACTTCACGCGGTACTTCGAAGAGTTCCTGGCCAATGAGAGCTTTAACACCATTTCTGGATCGGGTAAGTCGAATTCACAAACGGCCGCTACCGACCGCGCAACATAGCATTGGGGGAGGCCTATGTTCAGCAGTGGACGTCCTATGGCTGAGATGATGATGATGATGATTCACAAACGATGCTTGCTTAACCTCGTAAGACCGAAGAGTAAATTTTGTCGACTTCTAAGTATCGCCGAATGTGCTTTCAGAAGAACGAATAATTTGTAGTAGTAAACGCCGAGCACTTCGAGTAAAAAAAATTCTATGTTAGAGATTTTCTTTTGCATTCATATTTTCAGGGGCCCTATATAATAGTGCATAGAGCTTATTTTAGGTGAAAAATAATAAAAAAAAAATTTCTCTTAAAAGAACATTCGGTATTACAGACTTTAAAAAGGAAAAGTAAACAAATTGTATTTTATACTTTAAAGTAAAACATAAATGTAAACTTCTTAATAAATTAATACTACATAAAGATACAATAATGATATTATTAAATGTAACTGAAAAGGTACAACGGTTTTAATTTTATTTAATGTTTCATAATTAGTACTTTTAAAAGTACTATCGGTTTTATAACATACACTAATGATGGGTTAGAATGTATAAAAAGTAAAGTGAATATTCATGTTAATTATAATATTTACTAAACTAAAAATCAGAACGTTCTCATGGTAAATTTTCTCAATCATATCATAATTTTAAAAGTCCAATACTCAATCCCATCTCAATAGAAAAAATATACAAAAATAAAACTTTCACCATCAAGACCGAATGTTCCTTGCAAAGAACTATTATTTTCAAACTAAAAAAAATCTTACAAAACTTGTTCAAATTGGGAAAAATATTTTTTTTGCTTGTTTAGCAGTGTCTTAACTTAAATTATACTGGTCAGTTTTGCAATTAAACTACGTTTACGTGAAGAAAAAAAATTAATCGCACATCACGTCTTCTCGGACGAACCACCTTGTCAAAGAAAAATGATAATTTGACAGTGACATTTTGTTTTTTTTATTTTAATTAGTTCAGATACCTGATTTTGAATACTTTAAGCCATAGACTATCACTCTTTTTTTTCGATAGGCGCGAATTTTTAGGGTTCCGTAGCCAAAATGGCAAAAACGGAACCCTTATAGTTTCGTCATGTCCGTCTGTCCGTCTGTCCGTCTGTCCGTCTGTCCGTCTGTCCGTCTGTCCGTCTGTCCGTCTGTCACAGCCGATTTACTCGGAAACTATAAGTACTACAGTGATGAAATTTGATGGGAATATGTGTTGTATGAACCGCTACAAAATTATGACACTAAATAGTAAAAAAAAGAATTGGGGGTGGGGCCCCCCATACATGTAACTGAGGGATGAAAATTTTTTTTCGATGTACATACCCGTGTGGGGTATCAATGGAAAGGTCTTTTAAAATGATATAAAGTTTTCTAAAAAACATTTTTCTTAAAGTGAACGGTTTTTGAGATATCAGCTCTCAAAGTCGTAAAAAGTATGTCCCCCCCCCTCTATTTTTATAACTACGGGGTATAAAATTCTAAAAAAAATAGAGGTGATGCATGCTAATTAACTCTTTCAACGATTTTTGAACTTAAATTTATCGCTAAAGTTTTTGTTCCTCTGAAGGCACATCCGGCGATACTTCGAAATCACCTCTGAAAATGTCTCGGCGTTACTGACTACAAAGTTTTAGTTCCTTCTGTGGCACATCCGGGCTTACGAGGTTAAGGCTAGGATTTACCGCCTCGATGCCGTGCATTTGTTTACCTCAGCCCCCGCACACCTCGCACTGACACTCGCGCTGACACTCGCGCGACGCGTTGACGCCACAGTGTAAAAAACAAACCGTAAGTTGGATGACGGTTTACGTAATCTTCAAATAGTTAATAAATAAATAATAAAATTAAATATCCTTCGACATAATATTTTAACACTGCGCCTCTAGTCTCAAACTAAGCAAAGCTTGTACTATGGGATATGAAAATACTTAAATAACATAACATAAATAAATAAATATTATGGTTAGAAACCGTGCATAGTGCAGTCCACACAGCTTATGACCGCAGTCTGTGGAGGAACACTATCTGTGGTCGCGATCCTCATCAGTGAGGGACCGAGGAAGAAGAAGAATGGTTAGAAAACACCCAGCCCGAAACAAATATTATTATAATGTTCATGCACACAAATGTTTGTCAATCAATAATGTCAAATGAAAGATGATAATATTAAGTCAAACAAATACTTTTTACCGACAAAAATAGTAAATGATCACAAAAATTTAAATTCCATTTTAATATGAAATACTAATGTTCTTTTACATTTTGCTATTCTATTTAAGCAAATGACTCTAAATTAATCATTGTAAACCCAGAAATAGTAAACAATCCTCAAAACAACTTGCCTAGAGGTCCTCGTCTGACCTTTTAGAATTTGTAACTCAGATTCAAGCAGTAAACTTCTAAAATAATTATTTATGGTATCAATTAAATAACTGTATCGCCATCTAGTTTTATAATTCAGCATGTTTAAAAATTTGTGAAACATCAGAATTGATGACTCGCCTTATATTCTTTCATCATCAAAAAGTACCTAAAATTATCATCTAATTGTAAATTATGGCAACTATTTCCTCATAATTATTTGAAAATATAAGGCAAAAATGTTTAAGTTTTACAAAACTATGAAGAGCAGATATCTCGAAAACCATACAAGATATTATCGAAAAACTTGACTGATAAAAGTAGTAAATTAAATGAGTTTTCATTTTGTTGCAATAGTCATATCGCTAGGACGCATAGTTATTTATTTAGACAGTTTCTGAGATATAAGCGAAAAACCCAATAATGGGACCTTCAAAGGCTGCGATCGAGAACTTTTGTCATTCACTTAAGTTACAAGTGTTTTATAAGTTCGGCGATTTTTGTTTGTTAGGAAAAATGGATAAAAAAATCAAAATCAAAAATATTTATTCAGTTTAGACCACAAGTGGCACTTATGAACGTCAAAATATAGTAAATAATAAAAAAAAGAAAAGGTAGCCCTTATGGGGTACTATACATATGTCTCCTTACCTTTTGGGCCCTACCAGCGCTTCGACACAAACATATGGCAAGTGCTGAGAAGAAACGCCGGAACAAACTCCTTACGATCAAAGAATTTGAATCAAGTTTTGCTTATAAAATGAAATTAAAAGTGTTTGAAATGTTAAAAATGGACTTTGGTGAGTCTGCTGTGAGTGAATCAAGGGTTTACGAGTGGTAAAATCGTATCTAAGAAGACCATGAAGGCATAGAAGATGACGAGCGCTCTGGACGCACCAGCATATCAACAACCGATGAAAATGTGAAAAAACAGAAAGAAGTGGTTATGAAACACCGTCGAATCACAATTTTATTGGGGAAGATGCTGATGATGTTAGCATATCGTTTGACTCCATGCTATGAATATTTTTTGGATTTTTGTCGGTATGAAACACATGGCAACAAAATTGCTGAATTTTGAGCGAAAGTGGCGGCAAATTTTTGCTAAAACAATACTGTAACAATGTTCCAGTCTCCAAATTTACCAGAAATGGCTGTGTATGACTAGTTTCTATTTCCGTGAATAAAAATAACTTTAAAGGGTCATCGTTTTACAGACATAAGTGACATTAAACACGCGTCGCCGATCGATGTAAAGGCTATCTCAAAGATCGACTTTGAGAAGTATTTTGAGAATTGGAAGAAGCGCTAACACACGTGTATAATGTATAATAGGGACTATTTTAAAAGTTTAAATACTAATGTAGATCAATAAATAAATACTTTTCTGAAAAAACGAAAATTCCCGTTATTTTTTTAACAGATTAGTACATAGGGTTGCCAGGTCCAAAATCACAAAAGCCGGACTCTGTGCCTCATTTGGCCGCACATTTTACTTTAAAATTAGTGTCATAACTCACGAAGTACTATCATCATCGGTTGCCCAACATCCTGATGCGTGCGCATGATATTATTCCGTAGCTCGGATTTCTTTCGCATAAAAAGCCTAACAAAAGCCGGACAGGCTGGACAAGACAATATTTGGCCAGACAAGACCGTAAAAAGCCAAACATGTCCGGCTAAAGCCGGACACCTGGCAACCCGATACATACATATATAAATGATGTCATATTAATCAAATTTACTAAATCATAATTATTTCATAATAACCGGTAATTATTCATAATTTTTATCACATTTACCGTAACATATAAATCAGGAGGACAAGTCATAATAAATATTGTTCTTTATTTGACGCTTTCTTTGGAATAGTTAAGTGGCATTTAAAAGAAGGCGAATTAGTATATTAGAACTTTAGAAGCCTTTTATATTCCCGTGGCTTAGTTTTAAAATCAAGGTTAGATACCGTGGAAAAATAATAATAATAAACAAATTTATTTCTGTATAAAAACAGCCTAAAATATTATTATATCAGAGGCTTGACTCACAATTTCCCATAAATAAATTAATTTTAACTCATTGGTTTTATTTTGGAAAATGTACTATGTATCATGATTGAAAATTCTTAGCTTTCTCCAGTAATACTGATATTATTATACTGTGACTCGCCACCCGCCAGACAGAGGTGATTTTGTCAAAAATATTGACAAGTCGCGAACTGTCACAGGAATAAAACTGACACGCGTCCGTCCTCCGTAAGCGCCACCGCGCGACTGATTAAGATTGTCCAAGCCGTCATGGCCGATTTTTTCACATTTTTTCAACATAGTAACTAAATAAGACGCAATAACAAAAGTTTGAAAAGTTGTCGACCTAGAAAATACAAAGTCCTATCTATTAGTATATATTTTAAGTGTAAAATGTTAAAAATGAATATATGAGAGTAAAACAAAAAAGCTGTCGACGTACTTCTTTGGGATTTTTTTTTATCGGACAAACTATGCAATATCGTGTTTTGGAAAAGTTGTCGCCCTAGTTAAAGATATTAACTTACTCGTACAATTTTTTGTTTGCTAAAATATCTTTTCATTTAGAAGCTATCTGCAAACAAAATCGGTCAAATATCGACAATTTGGGAAATCATGGCCTTAAGTGAAGCAGCAATGCTATGCGAAGTCGAACGCAAAGCGTTGAATAGATAGAGCTCTGTGATTGGTTCGTGTGTGTCACTCCGCCACTCAAGTATTGCGTATGAATAGGTTTTGGGACACTGCGTCCACGGGCACCGTGAGACCTCATAGTGATGTTTATGTCTCATGTATAGATCAGTGTTTTCTAAGCTCCCAGAGTCTGCGAACTGAACTTTCAGTTGTACTCATCTCAATGTGATAACTTCTTTTAAAACTGTATTAAGTACCACCTATTACTTAGTTGAATTTTTACAGTTAATTTCTTGAAGCTTCATAAAGCTCTGCAGTCTGCCTGGTTAAAATAAATATTGCGGGATTTTATATGTAGCGTGACAGAAAAGATTTGGTAATGAAACAAAGTGTACAAAAGTGTACAATCTGACGTTCTGTTGACTTTACATGCTCTGTTTAGGTTTTGTAATTGGCGCGATTGTTGAACCAATTTAACATACTACCAGGTATTATTAGATCACGGATTAGTGTACAGTACAATGTGGACCGTGCCATTGAGGACGAGTAAGTAGTACTTACTCTAAGTAGCTTATCCAGTCACGGAAGATGGTTCACGGGCAACTAGCAGGTGTAAACGAAAATGAAACGCATTGAACATACAATACCCACTATAGTACTCACAGTCACAAACAATACCAAAGATAATTGTCCGTCTGTGTCTCACAGCTGAGTAACACGGTACTTCTTTTCATAATGTTGGTTACGCTCTTTAAAACTCATTAGAAAAACTACATAACAAGTTTTTGCTGATGTTTGTGACAACCTTCGCGTTTATGGTTTACAAGTTCATGATCAACTCCTCGTTAACAGTTACTCATATGCTCGTATTCAAACGTCGGTGACGAATAAAAACCTCGTAAGAAGTTATTTTTTATGGTTATTGACTTATTGAAGGAAATCTCCAATCCCATTACGAATACAATTTGATTTAAGCGCCAATTATTGACTAACTTCAAGACACAATTTTATTCAAAAAGACACTTACCCTAAGCCCTGAAAACCGGATTTTTTAATTTGCTGTAATTCAACAAGACTTAGTTGAGTTAAAATCGATGATAAATAGTTATTCCCTTAGTTCTAGGGTTCCTATGTCACTCGAAATATGAGTAACCCAGTTAGAAAAGAGATGTTAATGTAATAGTGCTGGTGGAAAGAAAAAAATAGTCTTTGTTTGATCACATAAGCAACACGGTACTTTAGAAAAGAAGGCAACCCATTATTCATTGAATTTTCGCGAAAATTTCTCTTTAGGGGCATTAACCTCGGCCGTTCGATATGACCTAAGAAGAAACGAAGCCGCACACGTGACTGCACGTGTCGACGCTAACTTTCCAGTCCGCAATTTACACTAATGTGATAAACGAGAAAGTTCGCAACAATAGATAGATGGAGGGATGTTTGTTACTCCTAAGTACTGGATGGATTTTGCTGAAGCTTTACAAACACATTACAGCAGAGTAGCACTTAAGTTATGTATAATTAGTAGGTATATCTTTTGCTGTAATCCACACGAGCGAAACTGCGTTAAACGACCATAAACTTTTTTTTAAAGATTATTATTAATTTGTTATTTCACTACAAATTACTAATACTCTCGTAATCCCGTTAACCCCTCGTACAAAGCTAAATATTATTATGCTTGTATCACAAGTGAGCTCACCACAATAGTCGAGCGGCGGCGGGGACCGAACCCACGTTCCCCGGATGGGTCCACTCGTGGCTTCAAAAATTAACTATGCGCTATTTGTTGAATTGTATAACTTTTTGTAGCTTTCACACCAATTAACCTAGCCTGAAATTAGGGAAATATTGTATTAAAATGACTACAACGGAACCATTCTCACATTGCAGCAGACGGCAACGACGCCGCCGGTCCGTCGTCCATCCCGCCGGTTCCTCCCAGGTTGCCGGCGGCGCCGCCCTCCACGCCGCCGCCTCTACCAGTAGAGCCTGTCTCTACATCGCCTAAACCCGTCATTTTAAATAGGTAAGCTGGTTAAAAAAACTCATAAAACTCATTTATTTTGAAAAATAGGCTTTTAAAAAACACTTTTACACGTCCCAGTATTAACCCTAACACTGCTTCGGGACAAAAAATGGGCCAGTGCTGAGAAAAAGCAGCGCAAGAAACTCAGTCACTATTGTCATCCTCTTTTTCAAGGGTTTACAGTCTTTAAAATATAGCTCCTTCCCGGTTGTTGTTTTTGCTATTTTCAACTATATTGACTTTTAAAAATAAAATGTGTTATGTTTTTTGCACCTTATGCAAATGGGTACATAATTGAATCGCATAAAAGTTCTAATTCTGTTTAATTACTTTCAATATATTCCAAGTTATTGTCGTAAAATTGAATGATCAAACGAACTTACCAAGTGAAGTTCGATCTAAATTATCCTGTTTTCGCCGAAGAGATTTAAGTTACCATGTAGTAGTACCCCTGTACGACAACCCAATCCGCACACAATATTCAGCGTAGTAGTATTAAAAAAACAAAAGAGCGGGCAACCCCACCCCTACCACGCTGTGGGCTCGGTGTCCGAGCGGTCTCATTATATTTAGAGAAGAGATGACATTGACGTTTACCTCCAGGGAAGAAGATATAGAAATCTTCGGGTTGGGAGGGACCTTAAATCTCTTCGGCGAAAACAGGATAATTTAGATCGAACTTCACTTGGTAAGTTCGTTTGATCATTCAATTTGATCGGTAATGCAACTCGTCGCAGGATTTCGGAGTTATCGAGATAAGAATATGATTACCCCGACCTTGGTTCAGTGCACGATTGATTTACTCTATCCTGTTTTTTTAGGTTTCTTTACATGGAAAGTTCTTGAGAATGTACAGGAATAATGGTCCATGTAACCGCATTTTTGTGTATTAAAACATATGGGATTCAACTTACAGATTGGGCAGGGCTCAGGATAAACCTTAATTTTTTGACTACCCCGACCTTGATTACCCCGACTTTTGTCACCGAGTAATCAATAATACTGTAATTTTACTAATGAATAATTAACTAAATAACGTTTAACAGGCAAAATTACCCTTTACTAAAATGAAATCCTATCTCCTATTAATACATAATATTATCCCTCAAAATTGGCAAGACCCCTGGACTCGACCTTATCACCGCTGAAATGCTGTAAGCCGATGTAAACTCCACCGTTAACGTCCTGATACCTGTCTTCGAAAACATCTGGATGGAAGAGGAAGTCCCAGACGACTGGCATAAGGGGCTTCTAATTATTGTGCCGAAAAAAGGGTAAAACAAGGGTATCAGTACCGGAAGACCCAAGAGATGCGATCTGGAGTGAAGAATTGCACACCGTTGGTGCAGAGGAAGTCCAACAAGTCCACAATTTCACTTACCTCGGGAGCATCGTTTCAGAGCCTGGAGTTACGGAAGAAACGTGGAAGGTCACTAAGGTTATCTCGCACCAGCTGCAGATCTTCTTCAGCCGCTGTCTTCGCCGAATTCTCCAAAATCTTCAAACGACGAACTTTTGGAACGCTGCCACGAAATACCGATCGTTCAGCAGAATAAACGCTGCAAGTGGAACTGGATCGGCCACACTCTCCGAAGGGACCCCGATCACATCCCCAAGCAGGCTCTAAATTGGAACCCCCAGGGAAAATGCAAACTTGGTCGTGCCAAAAAAACATGGCGGCGCACTTATAAGACTTGGAGCGAGATCAAACGCGAAGCTCAAGACCGAATGCGATGGAGGACTGTTGTGGACGCCTTCTGTCCTATATAGGAGACATAGGACATTGAGTCACTAATATTATATGTATAATGTATACAACGTGTCCCAAAATTCAAGGATAAGCCGGCGCCGCAGGGTGGACATAGTCATGACTACTTTAGGAAAAATAAGAAAAAAAATCTATCTCAATTATTTTTTAAGTTTCACAATAAATTATGAAACTCGTCGAAAATTGACACCCCTTATGATATTTTACATTACCACGACTACAATTTTTCAAATACTTCAGTTTTTTTTGTTTGTATCGGCAACTTAAGTAGTGCTGCTGTCCACCCCAATTCTTAAAACCCTCAGAATCCTTGCAATTTTTACACAAAAGTTAATCAAAATATGATATTTCCTTAAAATTTTGAACGATTTTTACTTACACTCCACTTTGACTCGTCGTTTTGTAAAAAAACAGTATGAACACTACTGCGGCAAGTTTTTTATAAAGTTGACGCAACTATCCAAGATTCCGAAATGGTATAATACTCTAAGAAAACTAGTCGCAAAAAAGATATGCGTACCATTTTTACAAGCATTTCGCTTGTAAGTTAGTATGAGATAAATCTTGCAATTGAATTTAAAACCAGTTCTCCTTAACCAATTGAGCTGAAATTTTGGTATACTTGTGTAAGTACGATGACAATGCAATATTATGGTACCACTGAGCTGGATGGAGTATGGAGGTGGCCATAGGAACTCTTAACGAAACGGCGGAATTACATCTAGTTTGGGTTCGTTGGACTTGTCTTTTCGAGCACTTTAGTGCTAGACGATGTTCAGGGTCCTGATGATGAAGTCAAGAGGTGGCAGGAGCTGGCCATAGGAACTCCTAAACGAAACGGCGGAAGCTTATCGAGTTTGGGTTCGTTGGATTTGTCTTAAAAAATGGCTACTGGGTAACATCTCGCATTACCTCGGAGCAAAAGAATGGCTACTGGGTAACATCTCGCATTACCTCGGAGCAAAAAAATGGCTACTGGTTAACATCGCGCGTTAACTTGGAGCTAAAAATGGGTCAAAGTTACGCGTCGTGTCACAACGCTTATAATAAAAATGTACGAGCACTTGCACAAAATAGTTGTTACAACCAACCTTTTGTTGGGTCTAATTCTCGTCACTACACTGCACAACTTAAAATAATTACGTTTTTTGTCGGTAAAAACGTCCTGGTGACGTCACTTAAGCATTTTTCTTATACTGCGTGCGGTCGTTGCGCGTGCGCACAAAGGAATGAGACCGCTCGGACACCGAGCCCACAGCGTGGTAGGGGTGGGGTTGCCCGCTCTTTTGTTTTTTTAATACTACTACGCTGAATATTGTGTGCGGATTGGGTTGTCGTACAGGGGTACTACTACATGGTAAAATAAATCTCGGAGGCGAAAGCAGGATAATTGACAACATAATCTCTAAAATGTATAAGCAAACAAAACAACTTTTTGATATTATTAGAATCAGATGTGCATCTTGATATCATTAATGCTAAATTAATGGCCTTGTTCTCTTGCTGCATATCCAAAAATAGAGCTTTATCAAAACAATCTTTATTTTTTAGAAGACCCGTATATTTCCATGCAAATACAGCGCAGCGAACATTTGCAAAACTCGAATCTGCAACATTACCAACTTACTTTGCATATTATGGAGGGCAAATTGATAAAACGCATTAAGAGACGTATTTACGAGTATTTATACTATGAAGTGTTTACTAATATACGTAAAATTCTTTATATGTGAATGCGTCCTTAGATTGTAGAGTTGGTATAGATACTCCTTCCATACATATAATAGGTATGTATGCGTAGCCGCAGGAAAACTAGATTTTACTTGTTACAATAACATTTAACAAGTACATTGGATAAATTGTAGAAAAACTTAAGGAAATCATAACATAGCAACATAGTTTATATGGGCTGGTTAGACATTATCATAAATACAGTGTGAGTCACATTAAAGTGTACATATGAAAATAGATGAAACTAGACCTATTTTTATCGACAAAAAAGAGGTCAAAACATTTTTGAGATTTTTTTTTAATTTTTTATAGAATTTTTTTTCTTCCAAGTACTTATTGTAAAGAAAACGTAATAACTTTTAAACTAAGCGGTATATCCTGATAAAATAAAAACAGTAATAATGCTAAATAACAGGCGATACTAAAAAAATACATAAAATACACAAAAAAGGCCAACAAATAATAAAAAAATGATACTTTTTGAAAAAAAATTGCTTTTAAATTCGGGTTTTTTTGCTTATTTGATAAATTTATCTAAAAAATGCCCCTATAACAGGTAATTTTTAATACTTTGTATTACTCTCTATCGTAAAATCTTTGTAAAACCAAAAATCGCATGTCTCTATCCCTATCACAACATTTGCTATGATCGTTTGAACAAAGGCCTGCCACAACTTTATTCTCCGCTACAGGTAGAGAAAATTTTAATTTTAACTAAAATGCTTATTTTACTTCGAAATCATTTGTTTTTATTTGAAATCTAACTTGTCTTTATGAAAATTACAAATCTAGAGCCATTTTCAGTTTCGTTGTTAACGAAGCGTTGAATGGCGCGCCCGGAGAGGCTTAGTTCAAACGATCATTGCAAACGTTGTGATAGAGATAGAGACATACGATTTTTGGTTTTACGAAGGTAATACGATAGAGAATAACACAAAGTAATAAAAACCACCGGTTATAGGGGCATTTTTTGGAGAAATTTATCAAATAACCAAAAAAACACGAATTTAAATGCAGATTTTTTTCAAAAAGTATCATTTTTTATTATTTGTTGGCCTTTTTTGTGTATTTTATGTATTTTTTTAGTATTGCCTGTTATTAAGCATTATTACTGTTTTTATTTTATCAGGATATACCGTTTAGTTTAAAAGTTATTACGTTTTCTTTACAATAAGTAACTGGAAGAAAAAAAATTCTATAAAAAATTAAAAAAAAAACTCAAAAATTTTTTGACCTCTTTTTTGTCGATAAAAATAGGTCTAGTTTCATCTATTTTCATATGTACACTTTAACGTGACTCACACTGTATAGTAATTTAAAAGTAGTTGTACATGAGTTTTGAACTAGAGTAAGACTCAATACTAGCCAATAATTTATTAAGATTTATTCTTGAGAGTAGATTAATTCTTAGTTATCGCATTAATAGAGCCTATAATATGTATTCACAAACGGTGCTTGTACTTAAATGAAGCAGCAACGCAGCGTTGAATAGAGCTCTGTG